TGTATATTAAAAATACAGTAGAATCAAGTGTCAAAAAATTGGTGAATGTGGGATTTTAATGTCCTGAAAAAATCAATAATTGAATATCTGAACAGCGCTCGAAATCACTATCAGTATTTGAAACCCTGCTTTCTGGACAACGAAAACAGCAATTTTACAGCCTAAAAATTATCTTTTTTTTATAACTTTAACCTCGCTCTTTTGAACCATCGATATTTCCAAACGCATCGAATTCAAGGTGATTGTTCTACTTTTTTTAAAGACAGTTCCCACAAAATTTATGCAAAAATGATGAGTAAATATCTGCCGGAGTTCTTGAGTAGATCCCAAGTTTTAATGCATTTTCCCTGTTTGTATCTTGAAAAATCGATGAAATTTAGAATCGTTTTTTTTTGACTCTAAGATCTTGTTCTACAACACTATCGCCCAATCGAATATTTCGCCCTATCAAATCTCGGACATCCTAAAGGTGTTGGAAAATGCAACATATATTAAAACCGATGAGTGTTTTTAATCAAGAATTCCTGATTTCATCAAATAATTGTTCCTTTTTAACAATAAACTGCAAATTAAAAAATCAGTTATTATTGGACGTTTCGTTGTCCAATCGCAGGCCGAGGTGTGTGCGCCTTGCTCATATAAAACCCCTTCCCATATTTCTCATCTGCATTTCATCTTTGAAGGTATTTTTTCTTCCTGCTCGTAAAATTACCCTTTACTGTGTTTAGGTCGGGTAATTTTTGTTTCATCTCAGTTGGGCTTTTTGTAACTTGGCCAATTTTTATGCAGAATTTGCCTTAAATTGTAGATGCTCGCCTCGCTGCTTCTACTAAGCTGCCTTTTCCACCAATCTCTGCCGCTACGAATAGATCGAAGCCCACAGCAGACACCAGAGGTATCAGATGACGAGTACGACGTTGCTGAGAGAGACCGACAGTTTCTGAAGTGGATGAACCGGCACACACCCCAACCCGCCGTCTACCTCCCCAACGCCGACGTGGACGAAGTCGAAGACGACGCCGTCGCTACCTACCTGGCTAGACTGCGGAAGCTGCGGGCTGCTCAGAAGCGGTTCAAGCCAAAGATGCCCATCTACCTTGGCCTCATTGGCAAACGCTAGGCAGCAACACTCGGTTGAGTGTGGACCAGCCAGTGTGTATTGTCCTTGCTTGTATAAACGGCTCAATAAATGCTTGCTACCACTGTCACTGTGTCCAACTGAAGAGTAGAAGGCGGAAAACATCATCTGGTAGTGTCGGTGAAAGCTTCCAACAGCTTCAACGAATGTAGACTTCGCTGGAAATTTCTGGCCATTAGGATCGTATGGGTCAATTTTGAAATCAGAGGATCCCAAGTCCACTTAAAAAGGTGCAAAAGTCTTTTTTTATTGTTCACATAGACAGAATGCGGGTTACCTTTGAGTGTGACAAGCACCAATCATTACTGAAGACAGTGGTGGGCTAAACTCAGAAATATTTCAGATTTTTCTGTAGAAAAATTCTCATTGAAATCGATATTTCCCTATTTCTCACCACAAACTTGACATTACTGTCTAAGTAGATGAAAGATTTGATCAAGGATTTGCTTAATACGATTATCTTTCTCGGTATATTTTAAAAAATAGTAATAATAATCTCTTCGACCAATCAGATTGCTTCCTCCCTGGGGTTATGTACATCTCCATGTTGAAGCGATTCGACGATTTTATCACTACTACAAAGAATACCCCATGTAACCGTTTGCTCACACAATGATGTTTACGCAAGTGCTTCGCTACGGAACCATGAAAGCGGGTTTATGATCATGTTGTGTGATCTACACCAGATAACGCAAATCTTGTAATTAATCGCTTTGGCAGTCTCGTACACTTTGTTGCCAGGACAGTTGTGTGGGTTGTAGAAACGAAGTACTGTTTTTGAGAGATGGCTGGTGCTCACGGGAGATCAATCAGAAAACTATTTTCCTAAGTCTTGGTACCGTGGATTCAAGATGACGCAAATGCCGTTATTGGAACAATTGCCTTATCGTCTATCTCATCTACGAAATCATGGAAGCAGTTGTTTTAGGGCAGTTGTCTGCATTTTCCTCCAAAAGTTTTTCTTCAAAATCGAGAGAGAGAACGTATTTCCAACTACACCGTGGGTCACGCAATAAATAATGAGTAATGGCACCACTTAGCCACCCACGGAAACGCCTGACGCCAGCTAGCAAGCACGACGGACTTGCGTCAATCAACACAATTTGTCAACGATGAAAAAACAATGTCCTAGTAAAAAACGCACATTCTGAAACATTTCTGGTCGAGAGAAAGTGTGGTGGCAGATAACATCCAATGTCCCCGATAATGCACAAAAAATGTCAAATATTGTTGGCCTGTTTGTTTTAATTAACTGAGGTCAGTGGCGGTTGGGGCAGATTGGATCTAAGGGCATCTGCAGCACAACATAACAGGACGCTAAATAATAATTAAAAAATAAACGGAAATCGGACAACTGTCCGTTTTTTGTCAGAGTTGCAACACATTTCAAGTCCTAAACGTTTAGCATATTGAACAAAAGAAACTAACTGGCCAAACCACAAATAAGGTTTTAGGAGAAAAGCTATGAGTAGAAAATAATCTTCTTTTTCATTTTGGCTTAAGGTACACACAAATACCATGGTTTTTTGTGCAGAAATAAGAAAATATCACATTTTGTTTAAATGTATTGCAAATTTCCATTCACATTATTGTAAATGCTTCCCGTTTTGAACTTGCAAAATGGGTCATTTAGAATGTACAGCAGATATATGGTTTTTGGGCCCTTTTAACAGATAATAAGTACCAGTAAAAGTATGGATACTTGACGGTTTTTTAAAATCATAAATGGCCAATTGTAAATTTAGAAAATGTTGGATTATTTCCTGCATGCATCCTTTATTTTTTAGAACTTGTTATTTAGCTAATTACTCACAATTTTATTATATATGCATCAATTCTGCTGCGTGGAATTGCTTTTAATGTTTACTAATGGATAAAGAATTGCGTCAATTCACTTTAATCAAATTTATTCATTAATTAAAATAATACTTTATAACAGGAGGCAACCATTTCGATAATTTAATTATCTCTTGTAAATGATCACCTACAATAACAATATGTGGGTTTTGACGAAAATCCATTGTATCAAAACAACCGCTAATTCACACAACACGTAGCCAAGATTGCCTCATTGTAACCCGGGCCAGTGGGCAAAAATCAATAATCCCATTTCTGAGCGTTGGTGAACTGCGCTACTGGACTATCCTGGATTTTTCTGGCGTGGCAAAAAATCGATAACACAAACGGATATGTCTGGATTCGCCAAGTAACGTACGGATCATTTGGGTTGAAGACCAAGTCATTTAAGCAGCATCCAATTTATTCATAGTGTAGAAGAAAAAATATTCTTTTTAAAGATCAAAGTGTCAGTTAATCAATAGTGTATTTTATGATCACAACCCACACAGATAATTGTGTTTATTACGACGCCTATCGATGGCATAACCGGTCACGTTCGGCATTTGCTTGTACCACTACAAGGAATCTTTTTGCATGACGAATTACAGGTCTAGACTCTGTTTCCCAAATCTGAATTGGTGCTGTAACCCTATCCTCACTAAACTCCTGAGGAATCAGTCCTTCCAAGAGGCTATCCAAATGCCCAGGCAGACATACGATGCCGGTAAGTTAAACAGGTATTTAAGGAGTTATGGATATTACAAGGTATCACGGGTATTACGCGTTCTCCTCCACACCGTCGCCATCTATCGTGGTAGACCGTCTACTCCTTCACCCCATGAGTGTACCTCACCCACGCTACCCGTTAAAGCCATCTGACCGTTCACCCATTTGCACATTTACAAGTTCACTCAGGCTGTATTGATAGACAACGCCATTTAGTCATGTTAGTATCCCAAAGTAGCTGCTATCTCGCTAAGATATTTCAGCACAACCATGATTTTAATAGCACCCTGCAGCCGCAGTATGTCATCGATTCTTTAAAATACCCAAAATTCAAAAAAGTAAGTAAGTAAAATAGCCTTTTCGATGGCAAGAATCCCGCGTGTCTGGAGATTTTGGAAAATTTTAATATCACTTTTGTTTTAATCGCTCTCAACGAATCTGTCACCCTACACGCAACTAATCGATAATGCATTAGAGTCAACTTAAAGCAATGCCAGTTGGTCGGCCAAGAAGAAATCGATTATATATTTTAATTCTCCTACAAAATCATGGCGCTGAGTTGGCAGGTCGCGAAAGTTACCTGTAAAACAGCTTCCTTTTGGAAAATCGCCAAATCCGTCCTCGATACCAGGTTCGTCACATCTTGCGCCACTTTGGCAATCACATAAATTTTACCTGCTCGGCAAAATGAGTTTGGCGGTTTCGGAAGACGGCGTATCAGTGCGAAGACCAAGTTGCCGCCAGATCAAGGCAGAATTATTCAGCATATTTCATATGATGACACAATCAGTTTATGTGCATTGATAAATAAGTAAAGAGACATAAACGTAGTTAGTGTGGAGTCATTAACTTGAAATCACGCGATGTTTTCGTTTACGCACACAAAAACATTTATGTTCAAATCTTGTCAAATTAAATAATTAGGGCGACAGAATGCAGGACTTACACGTGTAGTTAAAATTGGACAGATAATGGGCGCAGTAAGAGACATCTGAAGGTACAACTACCCACCTTGAATTGGCACGACATTTTAAAATTTATAGTCGCCGATAGTTAAGGTGTGTTCCCGACAGGCCAAAAATCACACACAACGACGCACTCAAATTCACATTCTGAAAGGTTGCTTTGATACTCATTAAAAAGTGGGACATGCTCCAGCGAACGAAGGTACCCTTCGTGATTGCGTCTGTTTGAAAGGGTCCGCCTATTCAAATGACACAGTTCAAGGTGAGATGATGTGTAACTCCAGTGGACTGTCAGCGATTCCGCTTGAATCAAACGTGGTTACTCACCTGATGGTGTGAATCAATCTCATCACTATTGCATTGGGCACTGTTATCAGACGTCTGTCAACCACTCACTCATCCGCACTCAAAGATGCCTCCGACGCCAAATAACGATCGTCTTCTCTGTCACCTCTCTACTCTCCGGTCCTGGGCTTGAATGCAATGTTAACTAGCGAGGTGCAAGATAGTGCTGCCGACCAACTGCATGTCCTTCATCCGCTCTCACGTACTCTCCAGCCGCTTGCACTACAGTCCAACTCCACTGACCACTGAAGTCGTCTTAAGTGCTTTGTCACTTCACATCGGGTCCCCACTTACTCTGCAACTTGTGGCAGTTTGACAGTTTCAGCCGCAGTTACCGTCGCCACTGAGTGTCATCCTGCCCTTCCGACTCAACACATCATCCACGCGCTTGTGTTACGTGTTTCGCCTCACCTCCTCGTCACCAGCGTCGACGTCAGCCATCCTGATCGCATCTCCACCTCGTCAGTCCCTTCGACAGTCGCCTCGGGTCCACAATCCACACCGCGCACATTGCGTTGCAGCATTCGACATCTCCACCTCCCTCGTGTTCTGCACCCGCGGACTTACCAAAGACTTGCACGAAGGTAGTTAATTAAATGTGGACATGGCTACCACCACCACCACCGCCTAAATTTTACCCAAATAGCAATTTTCGGCCTCGACAACTTGAGAATGAACCTCATCGACA